TGATCTTTGAGGTCCCTTCCAACTCAAGCCATTCTATGGGTCACCTGGGATCCAGGAGAATAAGTCAATGTCCTAACCTTTCCATGTCTGAACGGGGACATGGGCCAGCTTCCATACTCCTGTGGCTATTTGTTTGACAACTTTCCCATTGTTGTCAATTTTTAAGCAACAGTTAGAATCATTTAGTTTACCACAGACGCCCCCTTCTTCAGGTAACAGGTAATTGAGAACCATAAGATGTTGAAATACTGCTGCACGCATTTGCGTGGCTTGGTCCACTAATATGTCAAGAGCATGGGCCGTCTCATTAGTGATAATCTCTAGGAGGCTTGCAATCGGATAATGTGGTTTAAATTGTAGATAGGTTCTCAAGCACCACTAACCCACTCATTGGGGTTCCAGGTGGCAGGTCCATAATGTTCTATGATACGTTGAGGGGTCCACTCCTCTTTGCCCCAGGTTTGAGTACTTCCACTTGCTATAGAGGTATCAACAGACCACCAATGTTGATTGAGATCATCATATACCTTAACACCCAACCCATCACATTCATTTTCTGGGACTAGAAAAAACCAGGGGTAAATTGCCCCCAGGTAAGACACCCCAGTCCAATTTGCTGGTAACAATTTATAAACAGATTGGCCACACACCCAATAATGTCCCTTCAGAGCATGATGCCCATTGGCAAGGGGGTCCATGAGTTTGACCCTTTTGGATTGTCCCAATAATTGCTTTGTGCCCATGGACTCAGGGGGGTTATGGGGGAGTTATTCGAAGTATAATTAGTACGGTAACAGGCTCCTACTGAACTACTATATGAACAGGAAGAATTTATTAACCCTTCACAGTGGGACCCTAAGGGACCAGAATCCCTCTGGATACCAAATACCACCCGTTTTGTTTTGCCATCTCCAGTCTATCCTCCCTGTGGAGGTACTACCATAGCTGTAAGTCAATTTATAGCTAGATTGTCCTAGGTAGTTTCCAGTATTGATGTTGTTGGAGGCTGTACAATATTCTACACAAGCTGGGTATCATGTTGGCCACGCAGTGATGTACTGTCTTCCCAATAGGTAACATTTTTAATTTCACTGTAGTTGCTCACCAGTCATTCAGGGGCAATGGGGGTAGCAGTCCATGGCTAACTTTCTAAACCTAACGGTCCACCACAAACCCAACACTTAGTAAGATTAAAAGCATTAGCTACTTGTTGGCCTAATTCATTTGGCCATAACAATTTTGGGGAGGGGGGAGCACAGAAGCTTCCCCCGATATTAAAGATGGCGATAATGGCTGGCCAAAACACCATTTGCGATAGTACACTACACATCCTATAAAGATTAACAAAACAGTCCCCGACAAAACTCCACAGGTGATCAGCAACTTCAAGTGTTCATGAGTTCCTTCAGACAGGCTCCGGAACCTTCACGTGAAAGAGAAAACAAATTCGGTTCCCTTCCAGGAACCGGAAGACAGTTTTGGTTAGAAGGATGGAATAATCCACCTTGTGTTAATCTTGTGTTCCTTCCCATGAGCATCTTTTGCTTTCCAGGCATACTTATTCATTGGGGTTTCCAGTACCAGGGGTACAGCCCCCACAGTGAGGAGTTCAACCAAAACGGGCTGGCCCAGAAAGTGCGGCGGATTCTTGGGATAATCAGAGCCGCATTGGGCTGACATAATAGTTGGAGCCTTTGGACAAAATACTGTCATTTTTGGGCATCCTTTTATTCCCCAAAGACTGTTGACACCAGTAACTGCATCCCATAGTCATTCGGCCCATCCTGGCTTATGTGGCTTAAGAAAACGCTTCAGTGAACAATTAGTTCTTTCTACAATTCCATTTGCCTGTGGATAATACGGAGTATGGTGTACTCACGAGATTCCTTCCTGAACTGCCCACTCCTGGACTATTTTAGCAGTAAAGCAAGAACCATTATCCAACTGAATTGACCGTGATTTGAGGAAGGTTCCAAACCACTCTTTCAAAGCTTTCACTGTGTTCTCTCCAGTGGCTCTGGCAAATACTTCGGCTTGGACTAACCCTGACACTACCTTTACTCCAACCAACACGTAATGCTTTCCTTCTGACTTTCGGAAAGGACCGATGTAGTCCACTTGCCAGGTTTCCCACAGCCCTTTCCCCTCCCTCACGTGTCGGGGATTGTCTTCCAGGGGGTGTCTTTCTAAGCGGGTGCAACATTGTTTGCAAGTGGACAGGCAAGTCTTACATTCTAGTAACTGGCCAACCTCATGCTTGGGCCTCACAGTAGAGGTCTTTGATCCCTGAATGTTTCCTCTCCACCAACCATTCCAACAATCACTCCCAGTCTTCTGCTATTTGGGTGTTCTGAAGAGGAGCTAATCGGGCTAACTCGTCAGCTTTGCCATTCCATTAGCTAACAGGAGTATTATCCTGTTGATGGGAAGCCACCCAGGTTACCACAAACTTTCCTTGTCTAGCAGTGGTCAAGATATCCTGCCACTTTTCTTTCTGCCATACAGGTATCCTGTTGACTTCCCACTTGTTTTGTTCCCAGAATGAAAGCCATTCAGTACAGCCTTTAAATACCGCATAAGAGTCAGTATAGATATAGACAGGAGAGGTAGATTGGACTTCATGTTGGAAAACACTCCATACAGCAACTAATTCCCCTGCTTGAGCGCTGCCTTCCCCTTCAGTGATTATTTGTTTATCTGCCTCTACGCGGAGTTCTACAGCTCGATATTTCCAAGTTTTTCCTTCTCACTTAGAGGAAGCATCAGTAAACCAAGCATTCTGCAACTGTTCGGAAAACGGAGGGGCCACTTGTATTACAGAAGGGAGTTTGGGTGCTTCTCTACCTGGGCTCATCTCTTCTTGAATAGTTAACCTCTTTGTGGTTCCCTCAGACACTGTAAAAATGTCACAATAATGTTCTGTCTGAGCATACCGTTTCCGCACAGAGGCTCTCTGAGCCACCCCATCAGAGGGCGGAGTTCTTGCTAAAACTGTTTTGATTACCTTAAAGGGCTCTCTAAGCACAAATGGCTGTTGCTGAAGAGTCTGTTCAGCCTCTCTCAAGGCTAAACTGACTACAAACAAACCCTTTTCGCAGGTTGTATATCTTTTTTCAACATCTTTAAAACTATGGGAGTAGAACCCAATAGGCCGAGTGGGTTCTTCAGGGCCCTTTTGCCATAGATGTATTGACAGTCCGGTCTTGGCAAATCCCCATTCAGTATGGATGGGGTCTGTGGGCGTGAATGGGACCAAGAGCTTGATGGGCAGTTGCTTCAAACACTAGCAACCGCAATACTTCTTCATGGGGTTCAGCCCATTCCCACTGGGCCCCTTTTCACAACAAGTAATACAAGGGTCTTGCAATAATCAAAAAATCAGGAATATGCTTTCTCCAAAACACAAGTAATCCTAATACATGCTGCAAATCCTTTTTCGACTCTGGCATTTTAATCTGATCTAATGAGGAAAGGGTGTCCGGTGGAATTCATGTCATTCCTCTTTTCCACCAAATTCCTAAAAACTTTACTTCACTCGAGGGTGTTTGTATCTTTTCCAGTGGAATTTTCAACCGCAAACTTTCTAAGTGGGAAATTATATTATCTTGAGTTATCTGGACTTTCTCTGTTTCATCCCCTCCCACAAGAATGTCGTCGACATACTGGTAAACACTGACTTCCTTCTCTGCCTGAACTACCTCTAGCTCCTGCGCTAATGCATGGTGGGCTAGAGTGAGGGAATGCTTATATCCCTGTGGGAGTCGGGTGAAAGTGAATTGTTGGCCTTCCGAGGTAAAAGCAAAGTGGTCTTGGTCCTCAGGCTGCAGGGGAACCATAAAAAACATGTTTTTAACATCCACTGTCGCCATGACCAGGTGGGCTTGTTCCTGGATTGTAGCTATAAGCTCAGCCGTGTTCGGTACCACTGCTGTCAACAGACTGGTATTTACATTGAGCCTGCGATAATCTACAGTTAACCTCCATGTGCTGTTGGGTTTTTGTACTGGCCACACTGGAGAGTTAAAAGGAGAGTGGGTTGGAATCACGATACCTTGTCCTTTTAAGTCCTCTAATACAGGTGTTATTCCCTCTCTAGCCCCCAAAGGTATCGGATAAGGCTTAATATTTGTAAATGTCGAAGGGGGAAGTAGTGGCGCGGCTTGTAGCAGTTGAATATCTACAGTGGGGGAGCCAAATGACCACTGTCTCCCTTTATTATCAATCCAGGTCTTCTGTTTCAGAACATCAAGTCCCAAGAGGTTGAATGGAAGTTCTGCCACTACCATAGCCACTGTAGTGGCACTATCTTCTCCCAGCAGACGCTGGCTGACCATTGCCAATGCCTGTGGTCGAACATTGCCATATGCATCTGCCACAAACGGTGTTTGCTTGGAGGATGTAACTCTGCAATTAGCAGTATCTTTCATTTTAATAGCTGAAATTTAAGCATCAGTATCTATCAAAAACATGACCGGAACTTATTTTGGTCCTACGAGGCCTGTAAATAACAAATCACCCCAGCCATTCAAAGTGAGCTGTCTGATACGTATCCAGCCTTCCCCTCTCTGCTCACCAGTGAAGGGCGAAGGATCTAGTTTTCTGCTGGGTTTTGGGGGGCATTTATTTCTGATAAATCAGTCAAGGAGGGCGCACTGGGAATAGTATCCTCAAAATCCACTTCTCCATTTACCGATTTAGTGGGCCATCCTGTTACCAACTTTTCTAATTTGTCTGTTGGCAATCTGTCCATTAAGTCACATGGGATCCCCTTCTGTTGCCCCTCCACCCACAGTCTATTATGTCTGTTCGGGACGTCTCTTCCTCCTGGTGGTTTGGCGAGAGGTACTCTCCTATCATTCCAGGGGCGTGGAACTATTTTTACTTCCGCTTACCTCAAGCCCCTGGGGTCTGTTTTAGCAGTTGAAAGGTTAATGGGGCCATACTTGCACTCATAATTGATCAGTTCTTGGGTGACCTCCCCCCAGGTCCACGTTTTCCTGTCAGAGGGTTGGTGGTGCAGCGTAAGTCCTTCTAAAGTAGACGCAACTCTGTTGCCTTGGGGCATCACTTGTATTTTCCCCTGTATACCAATCAGTTTCAAGGAATCGGGCAGTCCCCTTATAAGGAGAGTCATTTGTTCGGGATCTACTGGCATCATCATTGGGGACTCCTGTCTAGGCTCCAGTTTTCGATCATACATCATCTGCAGACAAGCTGCCTTCTGCACACTCTCTACTAATTGATCCACAGTCCCTGTAATTGCAAGAGGATCCCCCTGCCCAATAGGCTGCCCGTTGGGTCAAAGACCAGGGGGCACGGTGGTTCCCAGTAGTTAAAAACACTCCTGGTCCCCCATACCCTTGCACCTCTCTTTCACTTAACAGCGACACTCTCCACACATACTCCGTTTCTGATTCCTTAGGGGTTCGGCCAAATTCCTTTTTTAGTTTCACCAACTTGACAGCTGTACAGGGGACCTCCTTGGTTGTAGCCTGGGGGGACTGTTCCTGCTCATCATCATAAACGTACTTGGTCTTGACCAAGGCTTGCAATGAAAGCAGTTCTAAAATTTCTTTACTTTCTCTTTCGCCGCCTGCAGGTCGTTAAAGGGGTAGCCAATGTCTGATCTTGGGGGAATTTCCTCGTGGGTAGTAGCCACAAGGAGCTGCTCCTTAAGGGCAGTCTGCAAATGCTTCCCTTGATCCTTTTCCACTTTATGTTGTTCTTTTAATTCCACCACTTGCCCCTGAAGGGACCGGGTAAGGCTTTTAAAGGATTCGATAGTTAGGGACTCCGCAGTACGGCAACAATCTCTAGTCTTTACTGCGGCAGCTAAGCTAAGACCAAGAATGGCACAAATAATCACTTTTCCTTTTCCCGCTCTTAGTCTTGCATCTTAGTTCAAGGCGTCCATTTGGTCAACCACACTCTGCAAATTATGCCAATTTCCCTGAGCCCAGTCCACCCCAGGCACAGAGGGTCGTGCTCTGTGTTTCTCCAGATAATCAAACAAAACTTCCCTTCCTGAAGGAACGTTCTATCATCACTCATTTTGTTTAAAGTGGGGAAGCGGTCGTCTCAGGAAGGCAGTGTGCAAGTTTCAAACAAAAAACCACAGAAGCCTGTCCCCCCCCTTTACGTTCCTGAGAGGTCTCATGTATTTGGGAAACCATACAGCACTCTCATCTCAAGGGATCCTGTCCATGACGCTAATTTAAATGTCCCAATCCAATGTCAGGCAGGTTTCGATATGATCCCAAGAGCGAGATTAAGACAAACAAGGTCAAATGCCATATACTGGAAACAGTTTTTATTATGAAAAAAGTAAAAAAAAGGTAAAGGTAACTGATAAGAGTGATAGGACAGAGCAGAAAAGAAAGGCAGAAAACCAAGCAAGACTACGGGATAGAATCACAAGAATAGTCACCGTCACGGATCCACAGCATCTCGGGGGTCCAAATCTCTTGTTCTGCGGCAGTCGGCAAAGGCACGGACCCCCTCATCTTGGCAGTTCCCTTTTATACTGGTGGCAGTTTTCACGACAACACATGCAACACGGTTCCACGTTCCTGCACATGCGCACACACTTGCAGTTCCAGCCCTGTTCTTCACGCGACTGTCATCTGACTCAGTCGTGCATTACCCTGCAGGGCGTTTTTCGCAGGCTGAAAGTCTCTACAACCTGGCAATCATCCTTATTGCACTCAGTAGCTGGAGGGGTTTTCCGCTTAAGCAAGCGATCTTTGAGACAAAAGTTCTTTCAGTCCAGCCTCTCACAGTTATGATCCTGGTTTTACTAGTCACTAATGGAAGATTAGGTAAAATTTGATTTTTGTTCATGATGTACATGAAAATCTGCTCTGTGTATTGGACCTGGGAAAATTGTAACTATACAGCAGTGCATAGCAATGCAATGATGTTTCTGTTGGTAAATTTAATTTTCTTTTTCACCATGGTTTTCCCATTTAATGCTTTGATGTGAGAAGGATAGTCCATGGAACAGTAGGACAAAATATTCTGACACTTTCCTTAGTTTCAATCCTTGAAAATCCTCTAGCAAACTAAAGTTATAATTGTACACTACATTTTAAAACAGGAATTATGTGTTCATGGTGGTATACGGTATAATTATTTACATCTAGTTGAGTGACAAAATTGCCAGTACTTTATATTCTTATTGATATTTTTGCTTGTTTACTTTTTGGTAGTCAGATGTCATGGGCCAAAAAAAAATAACATCAATCTCACTTTGTGGAATTTTACTTAATTTAGTTTATTGCCAATTATCATTAACTTTTAATTATTGACTCCACTATTCAGAAATAAACACAAACATTTAAACACACACTTGGAGAAACACACCTCAGCTTCCCTGTGGCCACCTCTGCTCTCCTCTTGCTGGTGTCCAGTCCCCACACCTCACATCACAGTCGGCCCCTTGGGTGAGGCAGTGGTGGCACAGGAGACTGAGGCTGGTGCACAGTGGTTGCTTTGTTTTTGCTGCTCCTTGTTTCTTACTCAGCTGCTTGGGAGTGGGCTCCCCCAAGGGCGGCAGTCCCCTCAGAGATGTACGTCCTCCAGTGTCTCCCCTCTGTCCCTGCTCAGGCATCTCTTTGCTCCAGCACAAGTTGGGTGTCTTTGCCCTGTGCCTGCTCAGGAAACATTTTTTTCCAGTCATGCTCAGGTGCCTCTTTGCTCCTGCCCTGTTCAAGTGTCTTCTGTTTTTCTTCTATGTCTCTCTTTCCCATAGTTTTTACCTCCCTTTCTGAAACATGTTTTCACAGAGGCACCGTGTGCTCTCTCATGGGCACAATTTGGCATGTTGTGGTGGGTCCGTTTTGTCCACTGCCGAGCCGACTGGGACCAGCTCAGGGCAGTCCCACACCTCGTCCATCACAGGTTGCCCCACACCCCCACACCCACCACTGACACCAAACATAAAAGATTTGTTTTAAAAATAGTTAAATGTTTTTCCTCCTGTCAGAAGATGTAAATGTACTCAACCTTTTGAATGTAGAGATTGCACCTTCCTTTCATCTGAAATTTCAGTGAAGCAAAGGAATGTTTTCATTTTGTCTTCTCCACTCAGTTCATCAGAATATTTTGGTACTGAAACCACTAAGAATTAACATTAGGAATAGAACTATGCTTTGCCTCTTGTCTGTGCTCTGGTCCTCTCACTTGATTCCCCTTTGTTGTAACCCACTTTACTGTGTCTTCTACTGGTTTATATCCATTTCCTCTTATCTCTTTTGTCTGCTTCACTTTCTTCCATTATTCTCTTTCTTTGCATTGACTCCTCCGTTGCTTCCTTAGTAGCCTAGTTTCGCCTTGTGAACCACTGTCTCCAATGGACTATCGGCTGCTTTCCTCATCTCAGTGAAATGAGAAATGTGGTGCTTCGAAGTAAGTGTGGCAGCCTTTTGATGGTGCCAACTGAAAGAGACCTGTTTGGACTCGCAAAGTGAGCAGAGCTTTGTATCATCACCTCCATTTCCTTTTAAGAAGTGGGAACTGGAACTTGCAATAGCTTCTTTTCCCAGAACTTCCCTAGAGATGTCATTACAGCCTTCTGGTGGGACTGATAGGAAAGTTCTGAGCAACCTTCGTACGTAAAAGTCATGAATTGCTGTTTGGACAGATGTGTCCTGAATAACTTCTTTTGTCTTTCATTAGATATGTTTTTGTACCAAATGTCTTTCCTAATGCCATCTTCTGCATATTTTGTCACTGCATCTTTATGAACATACTTTTGAAATGGAAATCAAGCTAATCTAGAGGGCACACTGTCACCGATCAATAAAAACATTTTAAAATTTATGTTTTAATGCTAAAGTAATGCTAGACATCTTTAAAATATGGCTAAATTGGCTTCAGCGTGTGGACCATGGAACCTCAGTGGTCACTTTTACTCAAAAAAAATGACAGCAATGATATTCACTTTCCCTTTTTAGGTAGCTATTGTTTTGTTCAGTTTGCCACCAGAATGCTGAAGTTATTCTTTCCCACTGAGTGCTTAACCTATCAATATTTTTTAAAGTGCATTTACTAAAATCTGTCTATATGTGTTCCTTCAAGTCCATTCGTGTATTTAGTTATCCTGAGACACTTGACAAAATTTCATTATTGGGGGGTTTCCAATGAATATGCTTTTGTACAAAATTAGAGTCTTGTCTTTTTTACTATATAATCCCCTGTATCCAGATATCCCATCCTACTGCAGATGGAGCTGAAATTATGTCTGTTACAAAAAATGATTACAGTATAGGCTACTTGCAGTTGGCTGATCTGTGTCTGATTAACATGAAACCCCAAATAAGAGGCAGAGGGAGTGATGAGTTCTCAGTCCATACTGCCCTAGATGATTCCAACGTATATTAATTTACATTTGTCCTTACTAACTTATAGCGAGCTGTAAAACAGCGTGTTGCTACTTAATTGACCTGAGAGGCCAGTATTAGCTGAATGTTTCCCGATATTTTCTTCACAGTTTCTGAAGAGAATTGCGCCTGTGAAGGAGGTGTTTAATCCTGCCATCAACCTTGCATCATCCTGTATCTAAGCATCTGTTTTATACTTTAATGCGTTCATTTTATCCTTTACTGTCTTCTTTCCTTTTATGTATTTGTAGAAAGCCTTATTATTCTTCACTATATTGCTTGCTGTCCCCGCTGATACTCTGGTTTTCTCCTGTGTAATTTTCTTTTTTTACTCAGTCTAGCTCCCAACATGTATTTTTCCTTTAAATCATTTCTTCTTGATGGTTTTAGTTGCATCTACACCGCATTTTTCATCAATATTTCTTCTGTTGCCTCTTTACTTTTGCCATTTAGTCATCTTGGGATTTTTGTCTCCTTAAAGAGGATGCTGTTCCATTAGACATTTGTTAGTACATCTTTGAAACAAGTCTATTCTTTTTCCACGCATTGTTCCTTTAAAGTTAACTCTTGACTTTGGTCACCTACTATTTCTTTTGTCCTTAGAAACTTGTAATTTTAAAATTTCTAACTGGTTTTTTACCTTTTACATTCTTCTTCTCTTGAATTACGATGTAAGAATTGAATGTATTCTGTAGAGTTATGTTTTCTTCCTTAATTTGTGGGGTAAATGGGCAATGCAAGGGCAATCCTGTAGTCTGAGTAAGTTCAGTGCAAATATGGGAGGAGTGGAGCCTAACAGAGGAGACTTGTCTGCCTTACGATTCTTGGTCTGTCCTGGACCATTTTGGCCTTTAGTGTGATGTGAAGGGTTAGTTTATGCTGGCCTCTAGCCGTCCATGGCAACACTTACATTTCCTGAACCACCCCTCCCATACTTGAGGCTTTGAAGAGCATGGTACTGTAGTACCATGAGCTAATTCTGCAATACTTTGGGAAATTCCTTTCATGCAGAGGGAATTTCCAGTGATCCAGTTAAACTGCTTTTATGTCTTTTAAGCTGGAGTGATGCTTACTTAATTTAGAATTGTTTTTTTTACATTTTCTACACTGCCTACTGTACTGGGACTGAGAATGAGGACTTTAAATGCTGCAATAGTATAAATGGAAACGGGATCATGACAAATCAAAAGATTTGGGCAAGAAACTTTGATTTGTATGATATTTTTTATTTGGGTTTGCTGATGGACGTCAGGAGAAAACTGTCATCTAAGTGGCATTATAATAAAATTAAGTTCTCCTGTTTTGTTATGCCTACCAGGTGAATTAAAGTCATCATTGATGTTTCTCTACTGAAATAAATGGTGTCGGTGTATTACCAGCTTTCTCAAAAAAGAAAAACTACTATTGTAGGGAAACTTTTTTTCTTCAGTGAAACACAATGTTTTCCTCTGAAAACATTATCTTAGTATTTACAATGCTGATAATGCAACATACTGTTATTTCATTTGTAAACTGTGTTACTGTAAAATATTTTTGTGTATAGCTGTACCTAAATGTCTGTTATGTTATAGTGTATCCTCTGAAGTGATTTACTGTAGGATTCTGAAAAAGCAATTTTTGTAAATTTAAGATTGAGTTCACATGTAATATTCTAGATGTTATGTCCGTAATCCACTACACTACAATACTTACAGATCAGTAAGAAAATTATACTGTGCAGTATAGCTCCTCTTGAATTGTACAGACCAATAGCAAATTTGATCTACTAAATTCTCCAAACAGTATTACCTAATATAACATTTTGTGTAACCAGTACTTACTGTAGCTACACAGATCTGAACTTAGCCTGTCACTACGGTGCACCTCTTTGTGCTTTGCAGATTGTGATCCCTTCAAAGCTGCATAGTGAAATCAGCATAGGGCTAATTCGTCCTAGAGATACAGATCTTACTGTAAATCTTACTCTTTGTCTAAGAACAGCATGAAGTTCATATAGTTGATATTTTGTCTTTTGAAAGACAGGTCAGTGAGAATTTGATTTAAAATATGTGTGTTTGTTCTGATAGAGAGCAGAGGCTCAACATAAGTGCCACTTTTTGATTTAAGGAAGACTCTGAGGGTGA